CCTATCTAATTTTTTTTTTTTTTTTTTAAAAGCCAAAAAAACAAACCCTCAACCCCCAGATTGAATTCCGTCTGTGACCTGCATGATATTATATGGCAACCTATCTAATTGAATTCCGTCTGTGATATTCCTCAGGTCCATCGTCTCCAATATCCTTTAATCCTCTGTTAGTCGATTTTGAGGCCGTCGGAGGACGGTGAAACCAGCGAGCGGCGCCGCGAATCTCCTCTAGACAAGGACTTCGGCGGTGGCTCTGTTAGCAATATTGAGAAAAAGCATAACTGGACTTGGTCAAAGAAGAGCAGCCTCCAACTCATGCAAAATGACGAGCCAGCATGGACATGCAATGAAGACAAAACTGGTTTTCCTAAAGCTGCAAAAGCTGGCCACACTCTTAGTTTGGAGCTGTAACAACCGTAGGATCATTTGTATAAGATGGACACTTGTCTAGTTTATCTGCCCTTGATGTGTGTATATAGGTTTATTTCCAGCTCATGTAAACATTGATTGAGAATTGTGTACGTGAGTTTTATGCGCAGCAGCCAAAAACTTTGTTATTCATTTTTCTGCATTTTGCTTAGATCTATGGCAATGGAGATGATTTCTTGTTATGGTATCAAAGCGGGTTAGACTTGCTTCTGATTATCATCCTTTATTCTTTATTTTCTTGTTCCATTTTTTATCTTCTCTCTTCACCATGAGTCACTCCACTTCATCTTCTACTTCCATGGCTGCTCCAAATCCAAGTGCAGCGGCAATGGGTTCTCTTGTTCAACCCAATAGTCAGCTGGTATCAACAAAGCTAGATGAAACCAACTCCTAATATGGAAGAAACAAGTCATAACAGCCATACGAGGCTATGGAGTGGAGGGCTACATCAATGGTGAAAGCAAGAAACCAGAGAAGCTAATCTCAGATCCAGAAAACGGAGAGTCTCAAATCAACACTGATTATCTTTATTGGGTTAGGCAAGATTAGCTTTTGGCTTCCTGGTTGATGTCATCATTGAGTGAAGGGATTTTAGTCATGATGGTTGGTTTTAACACTGCTCAAGAAATATTGGAGCCTATTGAAAGAAACTTTGCCAGCCAGTCATCTGCTAGAATAATGCAGTATAAACTAAAACTTCAAACCTTGAAGAAAGCTGGTTTGTCCATGAGAGAGTTTCTCAATAGGATCAAGAACCATTGTGATGTTCTGACCATAGCAAGAGAAAAAGTTTCAGAAAAAAACAGATCCTTCACATTCTTACTGGTTTGGGGCCTTAATATGATTCAGTAGTGGTAAATGACACTTCAAGATTACCCCCTCACACACTTGCTGAAGTTCATGCCTTGTTGCTTACTTATGATCAAGACTTGAGATAAACCATGGGTCTGTTGTTAGCTCAGAAGGGTCACACCCATATGCCAATGTGGTCATTCAACACTCCCAAAGAAAATTCACCCCAAACTTCAATCAGTTCAAAGGAAATAGAAATGCAGCTCAAGGTGGAAGAGGGGAAGAGGCTCTTATAGGGGTCGGGGCATAGGAAGAAATCAAGGCAATAGACCTCAATGCCAAATCTGCCATGGCCTAACCCATACAGCTGACAAGTGTTGGTATAGGTATGACAGTCAACCTAATCAACAAGGAACTAGCCAAGGACAACAAACACCAAGAAGAAATTCTACTTTGAACATGGTGCAAATGCTTGGTGGAAACACCTATTCTGATGTGGGTTCTAAGACCAACTGGTATCTTGATTCAGGAGCTTCAAATCATGTAACCAATGAACTTGAAAACCTGAATATTGCCTCAGATTACAATGGAGGAAGCAAACTTCTAATGGAAAATGGTGAAGGTGCCACCATCATTCACTTTGGTAATTCTATTTTTCAAGCCCTTATCAAACAAATGTTTTCATTCTGAAAAATCTTTTACATGTGCCTATGGTAAGCATAAATCTTCTTAGTGTCTCACAATTTTCAAGAGACAATAAAGTATTCTTTGAATTTCATCCAAATGTCTGCTTTGTTAAGGATCAACAAACTCAAGAGGTCCTAATCAAGGGGGTTCATAAAGAAGGGTTGTATCAATTCAATCTGCAGTGTGTGAAGAGTGCCAAACATAGAGTTTCAAGTGAAGAAAATCAACAACTTTTGAAGACACAACCCTTTTCTTATTTTTCTGAATTAAGTAAATATAATAGCCTAGAACTATGACATCAAATGCTAGGACATGCCAATTATGAGAATGTTAAGAGAGCTTTAAGGTTATGTAACCTAAACTATAAAGCAGATGACGAAAACAATATTTGTGTATCTTGCATTATGGCTAAAAGCCATTCTTTGCCTTTTGATCATTCTCAGAATATATGTTCTTATCATCTTGAGTTAATACACAGTGATGTGTGGGGGCCTTGTCATGTGAAATATTTGAATGGTTATGCTTATTATGTTAGTTTTATAGATGATTATTCAAGATTCACTTGGATTTATTTGTTAAAGGCAAAATCAGATGTTCACAGTGCCTTCTTAAGTTTTAAAGCCTTGGTTGAAAATCATTTTGGACACAAAAATTAAGGCCTTTCAGAGTGATGGGGGAGGAAAGTACCAGGCCTTATTTAAAGTATTTCAAGAAAATGGCATCATGCACAGAATTTCTTGTGCCTACACACCTCAGCAGAACGGTTTGGCTGAGAGGAAGCATAAGGATATAGTCAACATGGGGTTATCTCTCCTAGCTCATTCTCATTTGCCTTTGTGTTATTGGGGAGATGCTTTTATTACAACAACCTATCTGCTCAACAGGATTCACACTAGACCCTTAAACTTCCAAATACCTCTTGAGGTTCTTTGTAATAAAAAACCAGATTACAAGAGGCTTAAGGTTTTTGGATGTCTATGTTATCCACACCTTAGACCCTATAACAAACACAAGATGGACTACAGGTCATGTGCATGAGTTTTCTTGGGATATAACAATCAATATAAGGGCTATAAGGTGCTTCTCCCAAATAGGAAAGTGATCATCACAAGAGATGTAATATTTGATGAAAAAGGTTCCCTTATGCTGAGAAGGAAACTACTGTCAACACTGGATCCAGTCTTGAGAAAGTGCACAGCTTTCCAGAAATCCCAATCATTGAGAGGAATGTTCAAACAAATCAGGATTCCAGAAAAGAAACACTTCCCACTTTGAAGATCAAAATCCAACCAGTAACACAAGAATGCAGGCTCAAAGAAGCAACTCATCTTCTACAAGAAGCTCCAACTCAGAAAGCATAAGTCATCCAGGTATACCACTCTTTGTTGAGCTACCTATCATAACTGAGCCAAATAACCAGCATGAGGGAGAAGAGCCAAGAAGAAAGCACCCTATGATCACAAGGGCCAGAGCAGGAATATACAAATCCAAAGCCTATCTCACAGAGTACCATGAATCTGAACCTGCCTCATTGAATAAAGCTTTATCAACTAAGCAATGGAAGATGGCAATGGAAGAAGAGCTCTGTGCCCTACACAAAAACAATACTTGGATCTTGGTAAAACCCCCAGAAGGCAGAAGCATAGTAGGATGCAAGTGGGTGTTCAAAATTAAAAGAAATTCAGATGGAAGCATTTCCAAGTATAAAGCAAGGCTTGTGGCACAAGGATATTCTCAAAGACCAGGTTTTGACTTCACAGAAACCTTTAGCCTAGTTGTGAAGCACAACACTATAAGAATTATCCTGACCTTAGCAGCATATCATTATCGGAGCATAAGACAGCTAGATGTGAGTAATGCCTTCTTTAATGGCGACTTAAATGAGGCAATCTTCATGAAGCAGCCCCCATGTTTTGAAAAAAGAGGAAGTGAGGATCTTGTTTGCAAACTGTCTAAGGCTCTATATGGGCTTAAGCAGGCCTCAAGAGCATGGTTTAGCAAAGTTCAAGAAGCTCTTAAGCTAATGGGATTTAAAGACTCAAAGGCAGATAGTTCTCTCTTCTTTAAGAAAGAGAGAAGGAGTTTTCTTTTTGTCCTCATATATGTGGATGATATCCTAATAACTAGAACTCATAAGGATGACATAGACGGCTTTGTCAAGTATTTTGGAAGGAAGTTTGCAGTCAAAGATCTTGGAGAATTTGAGCATTTCCTTGGGATTCAGATAAACAAGAGTACAGATGGACTTCATCTTAATCAGGAAAATATGTGATTGAGAAGAGTAAACATGGAAGAAGCTAGAGGGGTCCCTACACCTATGGTGTATTCACTGCAGTTATCAAAGGAAGATGGTGAGCTAACAGTAGACCACACCTTATATAGAAGTGTGGTAGGAGCTTTGCAGTACATTACCTTAACAAGACCTGAAGTGAGCTTTGATGTGAATAAGGTAAGCCAATACATGTCTAATCCTTTAGATGCTCATTGGAAAGCTATCAAAAGAATTTTAAGATACCTAGCGGGCACTGCAGATCATGGCTTACACCTTAAGAAATCAGCTCATCTTGACTTAAAGATCTTCTCAGATTCTGACTGGGGGCAGATTTCGATGATAGAAGATCTACAACAGGATACTGTGTTTTTCTTGGAGAAAGTTTGGTATCATGGTGCTCTAAAAGCAAACTTCTGTTTCTAGGTCAATCACTGAGGCCGAATATAGAAGTTTGTCTCATGCTGCCTCAGAGCTAACCTGGATTCAGTCTCTGTTAACAGAACTTGGAGTTGAGATAATGAAATCTCCAGTAATTTGGGTAGATAACCAACGTGCAGTGTTTCTAGCATCTAATGCAGTCATGCATGGAAGGACAAAGCACGTGGAGCTTGATTACCATTTTGTTAGAGAAAAGGTGTAGAAGGGAAGTCTCTTAGTTTGTCACATTCCATCAGCTGAACAGGTGAGTGATATTTTTACCAAGCCTCTTTAATTGCAATCCTTCTATCGTCTCAAGGATGAATTAGGGATTATAAGTAAAGAATGGATTGGATTGAGGGGGAGTGTCAGCAATATTGAGAAAAAGTATAACAGGACTTGGTCAAAGAAGAGCAGCCTCCAACTCATGCAAAATGACGAGCCAGCATGGACATGCAATGAAGACAAAACTGCTTTTCCTAAAGCTGCAAAAGCTGGCCACACTATTAGTTTGGAGCTGTAACAAACGTAGGATAATTCGTATAAGATGGAAAACTTGTCTAGTTTATCTGCCCTTGATGTGTGTATATAGGTTTATTCCCAGCTCATGTAAACATTGATTGAGAATTGTGTACTTGAGTTTTACGCGCAGCAGCCAAAAACTTTGTTATTCATTTTTCTGCATTTTGCTTAGATCTATGGCAATGGAGATGATTTCTTGTTGGGTTGTACTGGAATGACTCGACAATTTCGGGCGGCGGAGGCTGGTTCCAGTGGTCTGCTCTTAC